CAAACCATTCTATGATTCTCTGATTCTATGTACTAAATGCATTAATTATTTTTGCTTTTTAACTGATGGGTCTGTGCATTGCTTCAGAATACTTAGAATTTTGGTGTGTGTATTAGATGACAGAGTTGATTATTTGTTTGGAAATATTTGTGTAATTAAATTGTGCTTTTAGCACTATAGTTCACATGAACGTTTCAGATACTGTCTGTCCCTCCACCCACAGACGTTAAGGTGAAATTCCTTACAGCTCTGGGTGTTGTGCCTGGAAATGCTGTCAGGAACTCTGTGAACTCAAGTATGTTGCCACTCTAACAGTGGTAAAGTGTTGTATTTAGTCTTCTTTTTGTTTATTTAGGGAATCCTTTAGAATTTGTTTGCATCTTAAATGGCAAAACATCAGTCCAGTTAACATTGAGGCTCTTAATAAAGTGCTCTTAAAAGGTTGAACAAAAGTGCTCTAAAGACTTTTAACACAAGACTCTGCTTCCTCTATTCCTTGTACTCCCCATAGCTTATTCCCTCCTCTGCCTGCAAGTTCAGTCTTTATCTAGTGCAGCAAAACACTTTGACCCTTCCCTCTTTTTTGCTGGCTGCTTGCCTGGCACATATAAACTGTCTCTCTCTGGATTTCCCAGGAAAACAAACAAATTAAGGATTCTGAGTCAGAACTCATTTATAATGGGACCCTTCTGGCCTTTGACGTCTGCCCATCCTACGCTACACTTCCTCCATCCCTTCTTACAGCAAGTTTGCTCTGACCTGCAAAGGACTGTTAACTTCCCTGTTCTGATGCAACTGATCTCCTGTCTCTACTTGTCTTGACAGTTCCTCATCAAACTGTAGCTTCACAATATAAAGAGTCAACATTTCATGCTTTTGAGAGGTTTAGAATATGGATCATTGTCAAAATTATTCTTACTTTTTCTTTTAATTTTCAGAGAGCAAGAAGGTAGGGAGGGAATTTTGTATGTTGTTGCTTTCTCTAACATGATGAAGTAATGCTGGACACTGCTGTTTCAGGTATCTGATCCCATGTAACCACATGATGTTGAGTCAGCGGCGGGCTGTGAAAGAGAGAGACTGTTATTCTGTATCTGCTGCAAAACTGCTTGCCCTGACACCAGTCTGCTGCTCCACTGGGATCACCTTGACTCTTGAAAGCGAAGGAAAAGATTATATTCTGTGGACAAAAACAGCACAAACTAAAGGTATTTGGTGCTCAGGGAAAGACCAGATCATGAACTGAGTTTGATTTGGCAGCAGCACATGGGAGGAGGTGGGGAAGGATGAGAGGGGAAGGAAATGTGGTGGGCAACAGCAAACCAGGTGGGGAAGCCTGGACTGGAAAGCTTATTTAATTCCTTCCATGTGTCCAGGTCTATTGAAATCTTATTTTAACAGCTATCCAACTTGAATACTCATTCATTAAAGTAATGTACAGATACATGACTGTAACTCTTGCTGATTCAGAGTGGTTGCTGTTGTTTTAAAGTTTGAATGTGGTCTGGTGTCAGAAATCTTGAGTTACAGCTCTGTCTTGGCAATAGGAACAAGTCATACATGTTTATAAGCAAATCTCTTAATCTTTATGCTTTGATCTTCCTGCCTTATTGGACAGTGGGGACTAAAGACTCTACCTACCATGTCTTGGTGGCTGCCTTCCTAGAGAACTCAAGTTGTTTTCTTATGTCATGATACGAGTAATCTTTACTTTCAGATGCTGGTAGGTGTTCTTCTGAATCTACTTGCATTGTGGAATATGGAAGAGCTGTGGACATTGGCTACTTGCAGTACCTGGGCGAAGCTCAAGAAGCTATTCTCCAGTGCCTGAAAGATTGTAAGGTTTGGTCTGCCTTGTATGACGGAGTAAACCCTGATCCAGACACCTTTATTGAAACACTTGCTGAGGAGAACAGTACAGACGTGGACCACCCCATGTTTCGGCTCCAGCAACGGACACCTAGCATATGTAGCTCCTCTCAAGTAACTCCATTCAGTGAGAAGATGCAGTTGGAGCTAGAATGGGATGATAGCTACGACACAGGGATTTCTCCTGGTTCTGATGTGAGCTCACCACAACCATATGATGACCTGGGAAGCACAGAGCTGCAGCCACCTGCAGAGCCACCAAAACACATTCAAGAAATGAAAAAAAGTGCCATCATGCTCATCAAAGGATCTTACATAGAAGAATCAGACTTTCAGGATGATGTTATGGTTTACAGATTGTGTGCCCAGAAGGATACTCAAGATGATGATAACTCCAAGGAGAAAACTTTAAATGTAGCCAGAGAACATGAGGTCCAAAGACAGACTGTAGTCAATGGGCCTCTTGCAAAAAGCCAGCTGGAAATGGACTTGGATGAGCACAGTAAGGGAAAGTCAAGCTTGAATCAAGGTGTAATGAAAGAACAAATAAACCAGAAAATTATTGAGATTGATCCACAGCCAGACTTAGAGTTGAAGCTTTCTCCTCAGGAGGCAGATTGTAACTTAAGTGTAAGACTGCTGAGCACAGATGGTGAGGATTTCATTGCACAGTATGACAAAATTATTAAGGAACTGGATCCGAACACCGCAAGCTTGGAGGAGCAGAAGTTGGATACTCCTGACCCCGTCTCTCCTGCAGAAGAGGAGGACGACTTTGAGAACTTCTCAGCAGACACTCCGTCTGCAGAGAGCATGTCATCTCCCTTCGGACCAAAGGAGGATGTCACTCCCAAGCATGCTTCGAGGAGCCAGAGTGCTCCATTTACAGGTGAAATGTCCTGATAATTGCATCTGTAACAAATACAGGAAGGCATGTTGATTAGAGGTGGCCAAATGAGATCACACTGTGTGGTGCACAGCACAAGCTTAGAGCAAGGAACAGTCGTGGCACTAAAGAGGGTATAGCCCAAATAGCCAAGACTGCTCCAAGGAGAGTGAAAGAGATCCAACATGAAAGCAGAGCAGGGCAATCAGTTTTGTGATAGCAAATGGTGGTTGCTCAGGGGTTTTTTTGGATGTTGTTTTTTGGGGGGTTTTTTTGTAATTGTTTAAAATCTTGAGTTGTTTGTATGTCGGAGCTCCATCATTCTAGAGAAAGATTTCATGGTTGAAAGGGGATTGGAGTAACTGTTCTAATATACAGGCACCAGGCGAATGATTTGTTTTTCTGGTGGCTTTCACCTCCGAGGCCGTGGATGTGGTGGGTACCACGTTGCCGTGGATGTGGTGGGTACCACGTTGCCATTTTTTCCTCTGTGCTATTTCACATTGCAGCACGAGGTGGCAGCACGGGTGCCAGGTCTGTACATGCCTGTCCCCGTGCTCTGCCTGCCATCCTCTTCCTCCAGTGTCGGGTCTGCCCTCGCTGTTGGTATGCTTTTCTGTCTTCTGCCAGCAAGTTCAGCTTGGCCTCCGCAGACTGTCCAAGCCATTCCGGAGTGACAGTGCTACCGGAGGCCAGAGTGGGCTTTTGATCTGTATTTGTACAGCTCCTTGCACTGCAGGCTCTTGATTTTTAATTAGGTCTCCTAGATACCACAGTAATGCAAATAGTAAAAAATAGTCATGTATCTAGGCTTCCTCATCCAAAGCAAAAGCTCTATAAGATGGCTTCTCGCTCATTTGAAAGGAAGATGAAAATACTCATTTGTGTCCGTTGAAATGCAGCCCTCTGGTCAGCTGTGGCCAGCATGCCTGGCACTGTTTCTTAATTGAAAAATTCGGCCTGTTTTTCAATCAATTTGCTATTTTTGCCATGGTGGCAATTTCCTTGTACCAGAAGCTAATCACATTCAAACCTTTCTGTTTCTCATTATCTGCTGTCAAATGTAGCTCAAAAATATCCATCTCTCATTTTTCATCTAGTCCTCCCCTCCATTTGTTCCTTTCCAAAAAACCCATGCCAAAACCAACCCCCTCCTCCTGAAAAAACACAAAAACCCACAACGGACTAAAAGGGGAAGAAAAAAACAAACCCAAAACCCAACCTGCACAAAAAGCCTTGCTTTTTGCTCCCCATCCACAACATGTTTTACTCTTAGGCTGTTTACCTTGCTTTAATGGAGATCTTAGTGACTGCAAGTAAGGAGGTGCTCATGACAATACCTCAGAAATTTTGAGATTGCAGTGTCTTTCAAATATAATAATATATTTAATTTGGAATGCTATATTGTTTTTGTAGATGTGTGTGATAAGGATTTTTGGTTACTTCCATTGTTTTGGAAAGGGGCTTCTCTCTGCAAAATCCAATAACCAGACAGAGGCTCCCACACCCAGTAAGTGTCAGCAGTGCAGAGATGCTCTCTTCAGGCCTACAGATCTATGAAGAAAATGTCCTATTGATGGCTATTTCCAATTTAAAAGCATTCAACACTATCATCCCTATTCTCCCCTGGGCAAGAAAATGGTGTTCCCTGCCCCCCCTGCAAAGCAATGCTTGATTTCATGGCCATATAGAGATGCACAGTTAGCAAAGAAATAATGTTTTTTACTTCTTATCTGATTACCCTGTTTTTTACAAGGCTTGCAAACTCTGCTTAGTTCCTCTGATTCTCACCCCAATAATTTATTGGGGGGAAAAAGTCACTCTTACCACTGAGAAGTTCTTTTAATATATCCTGGTAACCTCTCTTGCAGTCGCATACAGCACTTGTTACAAGTCCAAGCTTCAGCTTCACCTGCTTAGCTTTGAAGTCTGACCTAGAGAAGGGAAACAGTGATACATCTCAACTCCTTCTCCTGCAATCCCTCTTGATACAATAGAACTCCCACTGCACAGTGGTCTGCAGGAGCTCTGTGAAAATGTCTTCATGAACACAAGAGGGGAAGCAGTAGGTTATGTTGGGACAGGAGAAACTGTATCTCAACAAAAAGTTTTGGGGCTGCTCCATTGGGTACCCAGGCAGGCGGGATTCCTGCAGGATGTGATACCAACCTTCACTCTGATGACTGATGTGGTGGTTGAAAGGTAGCAGCCAAATAAAGCCTTGTCATCAACACTGGCCCTCCCACCTTTCCTCTTCTGAGTGGAGCTGTGCTGGCATGAGCCATGATAGATGAGTCTCAAGGGTGTGCTTGCTTTGTACTCACGGTCGCTATAAAACATGATAGACTTCAACCTTTAGCGATGCTCTGTTAGGTGAAGTGGCAGTGCAGGCACTTATGATTTGATCCTTACTGTTGCGCTGCCCCAGAATTGCTTTGGCCCCTGCAGTAGTTTACAGCAGGCATATTAAACTGGGCTAAACGATGCCCAGGTGGCTGAAATGACAGCCATTTGCTAGCTGAGGGGAGCAGGAGGTTATGGCCACCTTCTCGACTCTAGAAATGCCCAGGGCTGGGGACTGGGGTGGGATATTCAAAGTTGGCAGTGCTGTAACTGCATCACCCAGGGGTGGTTCTGCGTGTTTCCCCCAGCTTTTACGCAACCAGAATAGCGTGGTAGGATGAGGGATGTTTCTAAGACTTCACTTGTGATTAGGTCACTCTTACAGACTGCCTCAAGCATCTCACCAGCTGTATCATCTCATGATATGTAGTATTTCTTTAAAGCCATGCTCAGCCTTGCTGCAAAGGTTTCTTTAGATTGAGCACTAAGGGTTTATGTACTTTCCTGGTAAATGCTTCTGTATTTCAGTGGTTATCCTGCAGCATGAATACACAAACTAAAGCTATTATTTATTAGTGACATTTATATGATAAAGCCTACGTTTACCAGTAATTTTGCTTATAAATCTATTTTAATGTCTTCCCTGCTTTGTGTGAGTGTTTGCAGTACTGAAAATGCCTTTTTTTTGTCATGTGAACTATCACAGGTCTTGATTATTATGTTTAGAATAGCATTTTCATATTTCCTTTAGGACACCATGGGTTTTTTATAAGACAAGAAAGCTAGCTATAACTTATTTTACCCAGTCCTTATGTAGAAATAAGGCAAAAAAAGAGTAAAAAAAGCAGATTTTGTCTGCATTTAAACTAGTGGTGGCATTCAGATTAACTTCAAGAACAGCAGACCATAATATACTGGGCTAAATCCTTATTGGCACATGTGAAGTAGAATAGTTCTGCATGTTAAATATGCAAAAATATAAACTCATTGGCTAGCTTGCAAAAGTGTTTCTACTCACAAAAGCTTTTAACGCCTCTGTTAAGTCTATTTTGTCTGTTCAGACACAGTTTGGTTTTTCTCCCTGCTGGCTTTAATGAGTATGTGGGAAGTCTAATTTGGCTGGTTATGATGATCAAAATTCCTTTAAAATGCCTGTTTCCTGGATCTCAGGATTTTTCTTCTGTGAAAACAAAAGCATTGCTTCCTCCTTCTTTTCTTGCAGGACCATTCATCAGCGTAGTGTTGTCGAAGCTGGAGAACATGCTGGAGAATTCCTTGCATGTAAATTTGCTGCTTATTGGGATTATTACTCAGCTGGCAAGTTATCCACAGCCTCTTCTTCGCTCCTTTCTGCTCAACACCAACATGGTGTTTCAGCCTAGTGTGCGGTCACTTTACCAGGTATTTGAGCACAAATGTTAGTCCTGCCCGTTGGAACAGTTTTTTTGGTGTCTGGTTAGACCTTACTTTAGCTCTTTTCAGTTCCACCTGTTGCTTTCACACTGGTCTGAGAGCCTCTCATCTCATTCTGATGTTTTAGTTACATCTGTGCAGGGAACTGGAAATTCTGTATGACCATAACTTTTATCGTAACTCTATTTTAATGCAGCTGGAGGAAAGCCTGAGTATTCAGTCTGTGGCTGCACTGGGAGCAAGGGAGGAAGAAGTAATTGTTACTGTTGTTTTGGCAGGTGCTGGCATCTGTGAAAAATAAAATTGAACATTTTGCTTCAATTGAAAAAGACTTCCCAGGTCTTCTTCTGGAGGCCCAACAGTACTTGCTTTTTCGCGTGGACATGTCTGATGCTGCAGAAGAACTGCTAACCAAAGGTAAACGTTAACGACACTCAGAGGAGTGCTGGGTGGAATGACTCACCAGCTACCTCTCTCATTTTCTACAGGATGATTAAAAGTAGGTGTGGTACGTTGTGAATATCATTAACCAGATGTACCCTTCTGACTTTAAACTGATGATGCTCAGTAGGCCACTGTATATGGATCTGTTTGATTATTCTGCGCTCTTCAGAAGCGTTTATTTGCTACAGAAAATGTCTGTTTAAAGGAGTAACAAAATCAGTTCTTGGCTCGCTGTCAGTTTGGCCGTAAACAAACTTGCTTTCAAGGCATGAGGTGAGGTGGCATATGTGCATGATTTCATTTTATTTTTAGCCTGACCTTCAGCTAGTCATTGGCTCTTTCTTGATAAATGTTAGGGAGGATGGGAGTCCAGAATGAATTGGTTTCTGCAACAATTGAATAAAGCTTCATATCGTGGTTTGGGCTACTACAGAAGGAGATAGATATTAGCCAGAAAATTTTGAATGTGCTTTCTGGAATGAAAAACAAAACAAAAAAGAGGGGGGGTGTAAAAGGAAGAACACTTTGAGAGCAGTGTGGAGTGACAGGTATCATCCCAACAGACCAGCTTTCCAGGGGACTTGAGTAACATATGCTGCTTCTCAAGCACAATGCATGCTACACTTGTCTTGATAGTTACCAGTATTTACACTGCCTTGGGGGGAGCTAGTAAAACTAAGCAAAAAGAAGAATTTTACATTCTAACTAAGAACTTTCCAGACACAGCCAGGCAGCTGGTAGAGTTGGGGTCTTGCCCTGGGGACGTGCTTATTCTCAGCTTACTGCTAAGCAGGCAGTGTCGGTGCAGGTTTCCCTTAAAAGCCAACTTCCCATGAGATGGGAATGTGTTCAATTTGGTGAGAGCAGTGACCAGTGATTAAGTGCTGACTCAACAACAGGGTTCAAGAGCAGCTGCATTTACAGGTGTGTGCTTACTCATCATTGAGAGTCATTAGTAATTACCCATTCTGCCGATACCTCTGTGAAGACGCTGATAACTTTTCTTGGGTTTCCAGAGGGGTGGAGAGCAAGGCTTTTTATGTGACATCTTAATGTGTTTTCATTTTTCAAGGCTCTGAATAGTAATTTACCTAGTTTCTTGTCGGCAAGGTATGTGTTTCTAATGTTTCCAGTACATCTATTCTGTAAAATTATGATCTTGCTAAGGCTGCTTTTTAAAGAAGAAGTCTGTGGAAGGTGCCTTCTGTAAAGGAGCTGTGTACTGAAAATGTCAGTAGTGTTTTAGGCTCTACATTCTGGTGCCATAGATTAGAAAGCCTTACAGTTAGATGGTATTGTAGCTAGCATGTGGGAGATGAGATTAGGAGGCAACATTTAGTGTCCTTTTTTTCAGGTGCTGGCAATGAGAACTTTTATATAATGCATTCTCAGTGACATTTATTTATACTTCCTATTTTACGTCAGTTTTCTTCTGTGGGCTTCAGAATTTGCCAGGTTGAGTCATGCTGGTCATTATTTAGGAGTTTGAAACAAGGCTGCTTAGTCACCCTCTTGGTACATTTTCAGCTGTGTTGTGGCAGCTCCTGTAGAGAAGGCACCTCTTGACAAATAGATGGAGAGTAAGTACGTGTCTGGATAACTGCAGACTTGGTTCCCAACCGGACTGGTGCAGCAAGTAATCAAACTGTAATTCTTGGGGCAAGTTGGCTCACTAGTCCATCAACCCACAGTAGTTCATTATAGCAATTAAGAAGCACAGGATAGGAACTGCTGCACTAATGGCAAATGGAAAAAAAAACCCTGTAGGATTTCTTTGCATTTGCTTGAACACCACCTTTGAGGTCAGGCAAATTAGCTGTTCTCTGAGGACTTTTTCCCCAGATGGAAGTGGTGAATAACCCCAAAGTTTTCTCTACGGGTCTGAGCATAACTGGCTTCCTACAGAATTCACATCTGAGAAACAGAAGCCAGACTTAGTGGGGAACAGAAATGTAAAACTGAAATATTCCAGAGCACTTCCTTTCTCTTGACAGTGGGTCTCCGAAGGTGTTCAAGAAATAGACAATTTGTTATTTTCTACTTGCAGTAGTATGTGGTTTTCTTACACAGTAGCTTGGGTTTTGGTTAGGTGTGTAGGAAATGCTGCCCTTCTTTCAGTGTGTTGGTAACAGTATCTCCAGAGTGCTCAATTTCTCAGTTGTATGATTAGTTTGTATCCTGACCCTAGGAGGAAGTGGACAATCCTGGTCGAAGGAAAAAATCAAATCTCTTGTCCCTGGATGAGCTTTCTGTGCTTTTTTTTTCCTTTTTTTTCTATTTTATATCCCCCCCAATACCCCTTCCCCCCATAAGCAGTTAAATCTAAATCAAAATGTTTTTAATGAAATGTGTCAATTTTGATGCTTTTGGAAGAGAAGAAATTTTAAAAATATATTTAAAAAACTTAAAATATTAATTACGAAACATTTTGATGTTAAAAAATCTGAAAAAAAATCTTCAAGGGAAGCTCAAAAGTATTTTTTCATTGTAATTCATAATTTAAGTTGTTTTTCTTCCCACAGTCAGATTTTTCCACAGAACTAAAGTTACTGTAGTCTATCTCTAGTAGATAGAAATTTGTAGAATAACAATATGAATGATTGATAAGTCTGGAGTTGGAAGGGTTTTTTGAAAGTCAAGAATAGGACAGCTCTGTTAGATGATTAAGATGAAAATTTATTTTGAGTATTTGGAAGTGTACAGTAATTCCACAGTGCCTTAGGAGAACTACAGGCAAGGAACAAAAGTGCAGAGCTGTTGATCAGAGGGATTGCTCTGCTGCGTCAGGTGAGGCATTCATCTGCGGGCCCTTGTGTTAGATACGTGGAGAGGCTTCAGAAAAAGGGTTGTATAACCTGAGACTGAGTTGTTTTAACATAAACTGCATGCACTTTCAGGGAAATCTCTTCTTAATGTAGCAATGTAGTGCTTGGCTTATCTGCAGTGTGAGTTAATATGACAATCCTTTTAAAAAAAAAAAATAAAATATTTACTTATACAGCTCATGAGAACATCCACTTTTCAGTCAGACAGGATTTTATCTGTCTCTGCTTCTGGCCTCAATGACATCTTGTGGCAGCGAGTTCTGCAGGTTAATTTTTCTTTGTGAAGTATTTATTTCCATCAGTGTTAAATTTTGTCACCTTTTTAGTTTCACTAAATTAATTACCATCTAATTAAAGTGCATTTCTGCTTCAGGTTGAAACAAGGAGCAATTGATTGAAATTTAAGTGCTGCTGTCACTGTAATTCCATGCGTTCTGATGCTTGAGCCCTGATCCTCTGAACTCTGTCAGCAGAGATCATATAGCAGAGTGCACAGTGGTTTTTGCTTGCTCCTTTTTTAATGTTTACTTGCTTTACAGGGAGGTAAAGGTAAGTGGAGTTAGGGGGGCCTACAGCTGTAGAAAAAACAAATTTTCAGACATTTTCCCTGTAGTTTTTTGCTTGCTTCAAACTCCCATGGTGATGTGATAGTTCAGCCTGAAACCTGTTTACAAGATGATTCATGGGGAGAGCATAGAGAAAAGAGAGAGAGAAGCAAAGTCCAAACGGTATTTTGATCTGGGGGAGTGCTAGAGCACAGTACCGTTTAAATTGAGACAACCATGCTGGGTCTAGATGGGTAGATATTATCTGCTATTTCGTGAGGTAAATCCATATTACTCTTT